GGCCCCCGTACCGAAAAAAAAAAAAAAAAAAAAAAAATTAACAATACAGACCAGGTCGGCAGAGTCAACCCTCTGCCTTCCCAACACCGGAGGTGGGTAACTGTCAACCAGTTTTTCAATTTCTCAAGATGTCGATGTAAGATCCACTGGCTAGAAAACCCAACGGGGCCTGAAATACATTTATGTACACCTACATGATGGACGCTCATTATACACCATAGCAACTTCTGGTTCACACTTAAATCGTCTTCTTCATCCTCCCGAGTCTTAAGAACCTTTTTAAGGAGCAAGGGATTCTTAGCCGTCCTGATTGCACATTATAAACATGGCAAAAATGGAAATTTAGCCATTTCCATCAATTATAGATAGGCTTCTTTCAATTTGGCCAATTCTTTGCTTCCCGTTCTTGATAACTGGTTGATTCCTTAAAGGTAACCTCCACAGCCATTATTTTCTAAGTAATCACAATTTCTCCATCATCAAGGAAATGCATTTTCCAAGTACTTTCAGGCATAAATTACATGTCTGGTTTGTGGCTCATGACTAACAGCACTCCTTCATTTAAGCTTTTTGCCTCTTATTACTTTGGCAAATGCAGAGCTGCCTCAGTTTGCTTCTAACGTTATCTACAAATCAGTAATATAATTTCATTGCAAGACCAGTGTGCTAGGAGACTACTGTACCGTGGTACTTCTGTTTAATAAAAGTAGCAAAATAATTTCAGTTTTGAGGTTCATTTTTTTTCTTTTATTTCATTGTGGCTAATATATGTGATTTAGTAACTCCTTTTTTTTAATTCTAATATTTTTACAGTTAATCTCTCTAAGCTGTAAGTTGCTATTTCTTTCTCTAATTATAATAATGCTAACACCTTGAATTTGTAGAGCACATTATGGATTTCAAAGCAAGGTTTCCGCGGATTGTTTGACTTGACCCTCCCAATCACCGTGTGAGTCAGCACAGCCGTTCTGGTCTGCTCTGGCTTCTACCTGCCCTGACCCAAATGACCTCAGATAAGCAACTTAATGTCTCTGCGCCTTGGTTTCCTCATTCCTGTTGAGCTGTGAAGAGCTGTAAAATGTCAGTTGTTGTTGTTATTATCAGTTATTTTTTCTATCAGCTACTATTATTCACTTCAGAGAAAAGGAAACTCTAGGTCAGAGAAATAAAGTTTCTTCCCCAAAGTCACACAGGAGGTAAAGCTTATCGGGTCTTCTGACTTCTTGTCGAGGATAAACAGCTTCCTGTTACAGATATGGAATCACACTTATGCGGATATGAAGCTGCAGAGAAGCTCACCTCAAATTCCTCATGGGAAACACGGGGAAAACGCATACCCATATGCTGTAAGGGCTAAGCAAGCACGTGAAGAAAGCTCTAGCACGGTTCCTGGCACACAGGAGGCACTTGGTACATGCCAGTTCCTCTTCCCTCCCCATCTTTCCACACTAATCTAGACACGTCAAATGGCTTCACATTTTTCAAGCACTTCTGAACACATCCTTTTCAGCAGCACAGCACAAACTCAGATTTCAAAGCGACAAAAGAAAGCAGCCACAAAGGGATGTTAGCCAGCAGCACCCCAGTCTAGGGGTGGTCAACATTCTCTCCATTCTGCGAGTGGTAGAGATGAAGCCAAGAAGGGAAGGAAATCAGCCAGGACCATGAGAGGTCACCATTTCTTCTCTCTGCCAAGAAAGGGCAGTGGGTCCTAGGGACTGATGCTCATTGGCTAGTTTATGAACTACCAAAGCCATCGGATAGGCGATCGGGCCTTGTTTTAGGATTTAGCGTGGCAAGAAGTTTCCTTAAAGTCCCGATCAACCACCAGGAATTTTGATTTCTAATTTGGTAGGCATTCCTACCACAACCCTCAGGAAGAGTTGTGGTAGGAATGTCCTCATTTCTACCGGTAGACCACAGGCCAGCTCTAGAGCTCCCATTGCCACTGGCATGTCCAGATACGCCAAGGGTGTCCACACCAGTCCAGGTCTAGGGAGCTTTTAGAGCTGTACATCTGTTCTAGTATCGTGATATGGGGGAAAGGAGAAGCATGCTGCCCAGTGATCTCCCAGGAAACCCTGAACATGTACACAGCACAAGATGGCAGTCAGTCATCAAAGCGGCAGTGAAAGAGAGAGAATTACCAGGTCATCAGCTGTTAGCATTACTCCTTTCCTTCATAGTCTCGACTCCAAAACAAAGCCTCTTCCCCATCAAGTAGCATAAAGGCACCAGGCCACTAACCACACACAGACCTGGCCCTGCCCTAGACTAATGCTCCCATCTGTGTCTGTACCTGATGTACTCTTGCTGTATCGAGACAGATGACTTTTGAAAATGACAATGTTGATAACAGGTTCTTTAACTGCCTACTCAAAACTACACTACTTACATCTAAAACTAGATACGCATCTATATTACAGGCTTGTTAACGAGAAATGGCATTTACCTTAAAGGCACAAGACCATTCATTCAACAAGACTTAAAATTACAAAGGGGGAAATAAGCCAAGGGTTCTACACCTCATAATAGTGTTAAGCATGGAGTAGATACTGAATTTTCAGAACGAGCCCTTTGAGTAAAGCTCATTTTTCTAACCCCTCCGAAGATAAGAGGTAAAACTCATTTGGTCATTCCTCTTTCTCAAGAAGGGATGAGGCATCGATCATCCTTTGACCTCTCTTCCACTTTCTGGAAAATATGGAGGCCACAGCTTCTTATCGTGTCCCCAGTCTTCCTTCCACTCTCCTGCTTCTTCCTCATCCTAACATTCCATTCCCACCTTCCTCCCCAAGGCTCATCACTCTTCACATGTTCTCAGTTTTGTATTTTCTCATCTCCTCTGGGACCTTGCTCTGCTCACCATCACCTCTCCCTCCTGTGTCTTCACTTCTCGCGTTCTCCACTGACATTGGCTCCTTCCCATCAATCTCTAAACACGTTCACGTTTCTCTGCCCTTAAAAAAAAGCTTCCTTCCAAATAATTGTCCCCCTTTCGTTCTAACGTATATCTTCCTTTCTTCCCCCCTCCATACAAAGACTCTCTGCAAGATCAAGTCTACATTCACTGCCTCTCTTTCTTTATCTCACCTTTTCCCATTTACTCCCCAACCCACAATGACTACCACCATCACCAAAGAAAACGACTCTCCCTTTCACCCCTTAAATGTTACTGCTCCTCAAGATTCTCTCTTTGTTCTTCTTACCCAGCCATCTGGCTTAGTGATAATACCCATTCTCACAGCTTCCACTGCCACCTACGTAGTTAACACCCAACTCTCTCTCCTGACCACTCTCTTTAGCTCCAGATCCATACACCCCAAGCCTACTGGACATCTCTCCCTTGACATCCACTGGCATCTTAAACCCATCATGCTCAAAGCAGAATTAATTACCTTTTCTCTACAAGCGCCAACCTTGTTGTCCTCCTGAACAACCTGTTAATAACACCAGCCTCCTCTCAGGTCTAAAATATCGGAATCGTTCATTCCTATCGCACACTCCCCACCTCCAGGCAGACACCTGTCCTATCACTTCAACTTCCTGGCTCTACTCTAAATCCAGCCTTCCATGAACCCCCCCTCAGCCAACGACAGTAGCCTCTTTATCTGCCTCTAGTTTCCCTTCCCTCCAACCCACCACTCTCCACACTTCCAACATCATCTTTACAATTCTTCGTCTGTCCCAGCCACGTCCTAACTTTAAAACTTGAGATGACTTCTCTTCGCGTACAGACTCATGTCCAAACTCCTTGGTACGAGGTAAGAAGTCTTCGGGCATCTTTCCCCTGCCTACCTCTTCAGCAGTTACCATGTGGTCATGCCCTCACTCATTCGTGATGATCTCTGCCACCGGACAAGGAATTCCTTGAAGGCAGGATCTACGTCTTATTTCCCTTTGGACACTAGTCTAAGACGTGGCTGGCACATAGTGGGCCTTCAATAAATCCGTGTCAAGCTAACCATATCTCTACGGGCGCACATTCAAAGGCAGTATAGAAATTAAATCAATTGAGATAGGAAACATGGATTACTAAGGATTATACTGTTATTGACAAATTGAAAACTAATAGTCTCTTTGTCAGACTTACCAAATTTGGAAGAGGCACCTGAGTGTCTCAATCAAAAGCTGCTTCCTTAGTCTGAACAAGGCACCAGGACTCTGGTCTCACTAGTCACCGGTCCGGACAGCTTACTGTCTACCCCAGTCACTGTCTCCTAAATGGCGCGCTCTTCTAAAATCACAACTCTTGAACATTTCCTCTATTGCTGTTTTACCTCTCAGATCATTTGTGTTTCAGTACAGAAAATTACACGGCTAGGCAACTGCAATAAAAACCAACCAGCTGCCAGCAATTCACCAAGATTCTTCTCCCAGCCCCACCCCAAATAGAAAGTTCAGAGGCAGTCACTGTGAAATCAATACTTATAGACACAGAAGTATGATCATTATTGGAGCTACACACTAGCCAGAATACCACTAGAACATCAACCTAGCTACACCACCTCTTCTGGTTGAGGCAATCTCCTAACCCGTGATTATTAATCACCGGGAAAAAAATGATTGGCTTTTCCCCTTTCTCCTAGAACGGTGATTTTCAAAGAGTACTCAAACCACTGAACAGCTGCTAACAACCTAAAATGGAAACAGAAAGCAGTGGCCTTGCGATGGATGGCACTGATTGGGAGGAGAAAACAGACAGATCCATTGACGTTCTGATGAAGTCTTCAGGGGCTGCCACGCTGATAATCAAAGTGAGACAAAGTGTCAGGGGGCACTCCTTGCTGTAGGTAGTGCTGGGCGGGAAAGAATTCTTTGGAGACAGGAAGTCTCATAAGTCCCTTGCAGCTCCTACTGTGTTCCCCCAAGAAGATGGAATTTGTCTCTGAAGACTTCCTCAGCAACTTGCCATCGCCCCCAGTACAGCATATGTATATATTTCATTCGTAAAATATATTCTCCTGGAGATGATTTGGGTGTTTTGAAAATAGATTAAATGTTGATTAGTGCATTCAAAAATATAACAAGCAACCATTTTCCAGAAAGATAAATTACATACATATTCAGCTACCTTGTAGGGCTCCCCAAAAAGATCAAAGCCTGAAGAAAAGAGATCGTCTTCTTGCTGGACTTCTTGATTTCTCCGCTCCCATTCCCTTTTCTTAAGTGCACTACGGTCTTGTTCATAGTGACTGACATGCAGAGAAAAAGACAAAAGGAGACAAAGATGAATTAGTCATGTAAGTTATTTAGATCTCCCTTGTTATCAATAAGGAGAAAAAAGCAAGCCGAGGCTACCCAAACTGATACTGCAGAGAGCAGGCCGCCTTCTCTTTATTCTCAATGGGTTTAAGACCCTGACCAGTTCTTCAGAATACAGAAGAAAACAGAAACTTGCTTATTTATTAGAAACTGTACTCGTGACCACTTAAGTATGGCATAATCCTCTTCCCTTGTCCTTACTTGATTACTACAGGCAACTACTGCAGAGTCCCCCAAAGTCAGTCCACTGCGCAAAAAAGTACTGAATTCAGGTTGCGTCGTGTTGCCAACTGCCTAGGGCTCACAATTCACAGATGTCACGAAGTCCTAAGGGAAAGGAATTATCAAATATGTTACTGTGGATAAACTGGAATTCTGTCCTGGGCCCACAGCCAGTGTCAGCCTGTGGTAATGAAATCAAAGGAGAGGGAATTCCCTGGCGGTCCAGTGGTTAGGACTCCGAGCTTTCACCGCAGGGGGCCTTGGGTTTGATCCCTGGTCTGGGAACTAAGAATCCCGCATGCCACGTGGGGAGGCCAAAAAAAAAAAAAAAAAAAAAA